CCCCCATCAGTTTTCTACAGTGATTTTTCCAAGGTCTAAATACCTCCAACAAACAACTATTCTATTCTGATGTTTACCCTAGATACTGTGAAGACAACTATTCTATTCTAATGTTTACCCTAATTAACAATGACTCTATTAGATTTCCACTACAATAAAGAAACATCTGTTCACCACTGTGAAGTGAGTAGGTAAACTCAAAGAAAGATTCCATTGATTCCAGCATAGAGAATAAGTGAAATTAATGGGATTCTTAGAGAATAAGGGCATTCAGTCAATTGTACCACCAAAAAGTCCCAATCATACTCAGTTTATACCTACTCATGCTACATAGTTGGCTAAAAGCCAGTCCTGAATGGAATTATATTATCATCATCCTAGACCCAGAGATCTCTGTTGCCATGATCATGGGCCAGTGGGTTGACAGAGGTTTTTGTTCTACCTGGTCCTGCAGCCGTTCAGTCCCAAAGAAACACAGAGAGGTTTACATTAATCATAAATTGGTTGGCCTAATATCTCGGGCTTCTTATTAAGTCTTACATCCTACATTAACCCATAACTTTTGTCTGTGTTAGCCACGTGGCTTGGTACCTTTTAATCACTGAGACATTCTCATCTTGCTTCCTCTGTGTCTGGGTTATGACAGAAGACTGAGTCTTTCTTTTCCCAGAATTCTCCTGTTCTTGTCATCTTGTCACCCCACCTCTATTTCCTGCCTGGTTGCCCCACTTATACTTCCTGCCTGGCTACTGGCCAATCAGCATTTTATTAATACAAGTGTACAAGACCATTGTCCCACAGCACTGCCAGTTTCTGCTACAGGTCACCACAGCTGATTGGCTTTAAGCTCAGAGAAAATAGCAACACAGTAGACTCCATAACACCCTCCAGTGGTGTCTGTGTCACTAGAGGAATTTTTATTCATTTCAGCAGAGCCGTGTTAGTCTCTGGGCCACAGTCCTCCACCCTCCTCTGTTGATGGACACTTAACTTGGTTGTTGTGAATGACATGGAAACACGCAGGGAGCTACAGATTTCCCAGCACAGTGCTCATTTCTCTTGACTGTTCACCCAGCGGTGCAGTGGTAGCATCATGCTGAAGTTCTGAGTAGTTTTTTTGAGGCTGTGTTGTACTGTATTTCATAGTAGCTGTACTAGGTTGTATTAGTGCCACCCTATTAGGGGCTTTTTCAGCATTTGTTATTGTCCATCTTAGGTGACCATGCTGAGATGAGAGAAGCAGCGCCTCCTTGTGGCTGTGATTGATGCTCTCATGCCTAGGAGTGGTGACCATCTATTTATATTTTTGTGGACTACTGGTGTTTGAAAACTGTCTCTTCAGGCCATTTTCCCAGTTTTAAACAGATTGACAGTGTTCCTTCACTTTAGGTCACCGCCATACAGCCAGCCTCCCTGCTCCTCATGAAAATGACAGTGGACTAAACCTCTGAAGCTATCAGCTGCCACCTCAATTTAATGTATTCCTTTATAAGAGTTACCATGGTCATGGTGTCTCTTTAGAGTAATAGAACCCCTAAGTGTTTTCTGTGTATGCTAACAACTTTGTAGTTTCAGGTCTCATATTTAAACTGTGATCCAGTTTTAACTGATTTCTGCATATGGTGAGAAAGAAGGTCTGTCCCATACCTTTCTGCAACTGGTAGATATCCACATTTCTCAACAGGATTGCAAGTAAATAGCTTATCAGGAGGGAAGAGTTTTGTTGGCTTGTGGTATTCAAAGGTTTCAGTCAGTTATTCCTTGGTGTCTTGGTTATGTTTCTGCTGCTGTGTTAAAATGTCATGACCAAGGCAGCATCTAGAAGTAAGGGTTTATTTGGCATTTATGGTTCCAAAGGGCTGAGAGACTATTACTATCCTGCTGGGGAAGCATGGCAGAAAGCAGACATGGTAGCAACAACAGCTGAGAGATATCTCCACCCACAAATGGGAAGTAGAGAACAAGCAACCTGGGAATGACAAGTCTTTGAATTTCCAGAACCCTTCCCTGATGACATCTTTCTTTTATCAAGGACCCTTCTGTCTTTCACTAAGTCATGCCACCCACTAGGAACAAAGTATTCCAATGCCTGAGACTATGGGGTATCTCGTTCATACCATAGGCTGTGTTACTATGAGCCTGTGGTGAAAGAGGCACCATAGCAGAGAAGATGTGGCGCTACAATGCCATTTGCCTCAGTGCAGTCAGGAAGGACAGAAGGGATGCTGACATCATTGGGGAAATGACCTCACACATGTCCTCTCGCTGGGTTCTATCTGCTATCTGCTAACACCACCGCAGACTGGTGCTGAAGAATTGAGCTTCTGGTCTTTGGAGGATATTTTGGATCTAGAGGATAACAGTGAACATGTAGGATTTTATGCTTAGATCATTGATTTGTTTCATTGATGTGTGTGTGTGTGTGTGTGTGTGCGCGCGCGCCTGAGTGCACGAGCCTGTGGGGTCAGAAAAGGGCATCAGATGCCCAGGAACTAGAGTTATATATGATTGTGAGCTGCCGTGTGGATGTGACAAACTGAACTTGAGTCCTCTGCAAGAGCAGTAAGTGCTCTTAACCACTGAGCCATATAGTTTTTGTTTGCTTTCTGACACAAGATTTCTCTGTTTAGACCCAGGTGTCCTGGAACTCTGTAGACCAGAGCAGCCTCAAACTCAAGAAATTCACCCGCCTCTGCCTCCTGCAGTGCCTTCTTGTGCCTTCTGTGTGCTGAGTGTTTGGAGAGATGGCTCAGCCGTTAAAAACATGTGTTGCTCTCACCAAGGATTCAGTTTGGGCCAGGTGGTGGTGGCGCACACCTTTAATCCCGGCACTTGGGAGGCAGAGGCAGGTGGATCTCTGTGAGTTCGAGGCCAGCCTGGTCTACAAGAACTAGTTCCAAGACAGGCTCTAAAGCTACAGAGAAACCTTGTCTTGAAAAACAAAACAAAAAAAGGATTCAGGTTTGGTTTTCCAGCATCCACATAGTGGCTTATAGGCTTACAGCCATCTCTGACTCCAGTTCACAGGTATCTGATGCCCCCTTCTGTTCTCTATAGGTACCAGACATGCACGTGGTGCAAATACAAACATGCAGGCTCCTAGAAAGACCTCCATAGTCTGTGCTGCCAAGTCCTCATACACATGAAACAAATCTGGAAGAAAACTTTTAAACTTTTTAAAGGTTCAATACTTTTAATGTTTATTTATTTGTATTTATTCTCGGCAATGCTGAAAATTACATGTAGAATCTTGGCAGCACAGACCATAGAGGTCTTTTGAGGAGGCTCAATCCAGAAAATGAACCATTCTGTGTCTTGGACATCCTTTCATTGCTCAGTCAGGGCAATTGTGTGGCTGGGCAGCGAGGTCAGAGCACAGCCTGCCTCAGAGCACAGCCTGCCAGTACTCCTCGGCAGTGGTGGGCTGGGGATGAGCCCTACTCAGCAACAACACTGTCTTCGTCTGCTGGGCCGCAAAAAAATCCCACCTCATTCCCATCCCGTCACTGCTGTATCTCTGGTCTCACCATTGTTTCTCATGTACCTCTGCTCCACCATCCTTCCCTTCCAGTTTCATGAGACCTCTTTAAGACAGCTTCTTCCCATCAGGAGATAGTGTGGGCTCTTCAGAGTCCTCTGCTACGCGCCTTCCCTCAGAGCCTTCAGGGGTCTCTCAGGCTCCTTGGAGCTGTTCCTTGGTCCCACGGGTGCTGGCAGCTGACACCATCTTGAATAAAAGCTATTTTTAAAATTGACTTAATGTGTATGAGTTTTGTATGCATGTGTATCTATGTACCACATAAAAGCCTGATTCCCTGGGAGGCCAAAAGTGGGTGTTGGATCCTCCAAAACTATAGTTATCAATGGTTGTGTGCCATTGTGCAGTTGCTGGGACTTGAACTCACAGCCTCTGAAAGATCAGTAAGTTCTCTTAACCACTGAAACATGTCTCCAGCCCCAATACTGAATCTTTTCTTTTCTCTTTTCTTTTCTTTCTTTTGTTTGTTTGCTTTCTGTTTTTGTTTGTTTTAGACAGGATTGCACTTGGTTGGTCTGGAACTTGATATATAGATCAGGTTGGTCTCAAGCTCCTAGAAATGTGGCTTCCTCTGGCTCCTAAATGCTGGGATTAAATGCATAAATACACTACCATGCCTGGCTATTTTTAAGGGGATTGTTCTGAATTTCTCAACAAATTTGTACTTTGTTTTTTTTTGTTTTTTGAGACAGGGTTTCTCAGTAGTTATGGAGACAGTCTTGGAACTTGATCTGTGGAGCAGGCTGTCCTCACAGAGATCCGCCTGTCTCTGCCTCCCAGGTGCAGGGATTAAAGGCGTGCGCCACCATTGCCCCGCTCTTTTTATTTTCCAGGATTTATTATTTACTATATATACAGTATTCTGTCTGCATATATGCCTGCAGGCCAGAAGAGGGCACCCAATCTCATTACAGATGGCTTTGAGCTACCCTGTGATTGCTGGGAATTGAACTCAGGACCTTTGGAAGAGCAGCCAGTGCTCTTAACCACTGAGCCATCTCTCTGGTCCCTGCAGATTTGTTCTTGATGCACAGAGAAGGTGTGAAGTTTGATGTCACATGTTATGTCATCCATTGTCCTCTGTTCAGAGTCTACGGTTTTCTCCTTATAGCATCATCTGTAGATAGCCTCGCCTTTCCATTCCGCTTTCTCCTTTGACTGTTGTTTCTTTACTTATCAAGGCATATGTCTTCATTAGTAGGCTAAAAGGTGGTGAAAGAGCATATCCTGCTGTGTTCCTAGAGCAAACCATCTCAGGCTTGCCCCACTCCCCCAGCCTTGCTTGGGCTGCGGGTTTCTTACATATAATCATAGTTTATTGAGGTTTTTTCCCATGAAGATAAAAATACCTTTTATGCATCCTTGTATTCATGACTGTTTTTGTTGTGATAATAGTGGTCTTTTTTGGAGAGAGGGTCTCACAATACAAATCTGGCTGCCCTGGAACTCACAGAAATCAGTTTGCCCTGAGTCCTGACTTCTGGGATTAATGGCAGATGCCATTATATCTAGAAATATAGGTATATATTATTTAGTGCATGGATATGAGGGTTTCAGATTTCCATATGGTGAGTGCTGCATTCCTAGTATGAATCACACATGACCATAGTTTCTAATTATTTTGTGTGCTCTGTTGGTTTTTCTGTGCCTCTCTTTGTTCATTAGGGTTACTGTACTTGAGGTTTGGATGCTGTGTCCATGTGTAGCTTTGAAGTCATTGTAATGCTGGTGAATATGGTAACAGCTAAAATGCATGGCTGTACCTCCAGTGTGTGTTATTGTATATACAACTCTAGGCTTTCTTCTATTTTTCCTGTATGATTATAACCCTGAGTCATTTTTTGATGTATACCTAGTCTCTCTTAATTATTATTTAGTGTCCTTATATTTTCTATAGAATAAACATGGAAGGAATATTTACTTTTCAGTGGTGATGGATGCATTTTAAATTAGCCTTATATTCTTTCAGTTTTTAAAACTCTGCTTGGTTTAACTTAATTTGTTTATTTTTGAGAAAATGTTTCACTATATGGCCCTGGCTGGCCTAGGACTCATTACATAGACCAGACTGACCTTTAACTCAAAGTGGTGTGCCTGCCTCTGCCTTACAAATGCTGGAATTAAATATTGGCTTAACCATACCTAGTAATTTAGTTTACTTAAAGCATTTTTCAAAAGTCATTTGTATTTATGCCACATATATGCAATACCTGCAGAGGATAGAAAAGTTATATTTGCTAGAACTAGAGTTACATGTGGTTGTTTGCCACCTGATGTGGGTGCTGGAAACTGAATCTGGGTCTGCACAGTATCAAGTATTCTTATCCACTGAGCCATCTCTTCAGTCCCTTGGCTGATTGTTTTGATGATTATTCTCCTGTATAATTTGTTAAGTATTAGGGTTTCTATTGCTGTGAAGATTCACCATGACCATGGCAACTCTTACAAGGAAAACATTTTATTGAGGGGCCTCACTTACATTTTCAGAGGTTCAGTCCATTGTCATCATGATGGGGAGCATGAAGGCCTGCAGGCAGATGTGGTGGTGGAGGAGCTGAGAGTGCTACATCTTGCAGGCAACAGGAAATTGACAAACAGACACACTGGGGGAAGCTCAATCAAAAGAGTCCTTGAAGCCTGTCTCCAGTGACACACTTCCTACAACAAGGCTATTTTCTTTGAGGACCATTTTCTTCCAAATCATCACAGATATCTTTTTTTTTAAAAAAAAAATTATTGTGTCTTCTCTTTTATTCACCTCTGTTTTCTTATATTTTTTTGGAAACCATGATGCTGATTGAAGATGACATTCTAGCCCCTGAAGATTGTTAGTGTAGACCCTCTAATGAACGTTTCTGATTTCACTGATCAAAGCACAGGACCCAAATTAGCTCTGTTGCTTTATATTTGAGGGCTAAACCTAACACTTTTTCAAAATTTCTTTGTTGTTTCTCACTTACAGGGTACTGCATGTCCAAACCCGAGTTGATCTTCAAGTTGGAGCATGGATATGGACCATGGAGTGTAGCAGAAGCCTCTATCCAGAGCCTTCCAGGTCAGTGAATGCAGACTCAGCTAGGGAGGCCAGCGAAAGGAGAGTTCATTATACTGGTCATTGTTGAATGCTTTTTACCACCATACCTAGTGTTGTGGGAGGCCACTTGTTTGTTCCTGGCTACTCAGCCCCGAAATAACCACACAGAAACTGTATTAATTAAATCATTACTTGGCCTAGGAGCTCTAGCTTCTTATTGGCTAACTCTTACACCTTAATTTAACCCATTTCTATTAATCTGTGTATTGTCACTGGGCTGTGGCTTACCAGCAAGATTCCAGAATAATCTGTTCCTGGTGGCGGCTACATGGCATCTCTTGACTGCACCTTCTTCCTCCCAACATCAGTTTAGTTTTCTCTGCCTACCTCTGTTCTGCCCTGCTATAGGTCCAAAGCAGTTTCTTATTATCAGTGGTAATCACAGCATACAGGGGGGAATCCCACATCAACCTAGCCCTGACCAGACTCTTGCAGTTTCTGGAAAGAATTAGCCATATCAACCCATCACGTAGTATTGGTTGTTTCTGTTGTGTGTTTCCCTTACATGTAAACATGTAAGTTTTTAAATGGATGTTGTCCTATTGCTGGCAAATAGCCTTGATGAGGCCAGCAGTCAGCCAGCATACAGCAATCTTTGGTAGGTGAGAACAAAGGACTTACTTATATTAGACTCTAGCAACACACCAATAACTGCCACCCTCCATTGACTCCTAACAGCCCGACTGTCAGAGAACACAGATTAAACAAACAACTGTGTTTTTCTCCTCTCTTCTTTAACCTCTTTACTTCATAGTGTTTTTACTTTTTTCCTTTTTCAGTTATTTTGTGCTTATATTTTTATTCTTCCTGTATACTTATTTAACCTTGTATTCTTTATTTTGTCACAAGATTCATTATCACCTGTGTTTTTCTGTTCCCTTCTCATTATTCCTTTCCCTGTTTGTTCTTTAAAAAAAAAAATTAACCTGTTGTCTTATTTTGAGTTTTATTGCTATGAAAAGGCACCATGACCATGGTCTTACAAAGGAATACATTTAATTGGGGCTGGTTTACAGTTCAGAGGTCTTATCATGGTGGGAAGAATGGTGACATGCAGGCAGACATGGTGTAGGAGAAGGAGCTGAGAATTCTACATCTTATTCTGCTGACAGCAGAGGGGACTGTGTACACACTGGGCATACTTTGAGAATATAAGATCTCAAAGCTCACCTCCACAGTAACACACTTCCTCCAACAAGGCCACACCTACTCCAACAAGGTCACAACTCTTAATAGTGCCAACCCCTATGGTTCAATGGTTCAAGCATTCAAACACATGAATCTGTGGGGGTACTGCTTTCCACTTTTTTAGCTCTGCTCTTCTTTTCTTTTCTTTCTTTTCTTTTTTTTTTTTTCAAGACAGGGTTTCTTTGGGTAGCTTTGGTGCCTGTCCTGGAACTAGCTGTTGTAGACCAGGCTGGCCTCGAACTAGACAGAGATCCGCCTGCCTCTGCCTCCCGAGTGCTGAGATTAAAAGTGTGCACCATTACCACCCAGCTCTTGTTTCCTTTTTATTATTTATTATTATTACTTGGGTTTTTTTGAGACAGGGTTTCTCTGTGTAGCCTTGGCTATCCTGGAACATTATGGTCTATTATGTAGACCAAGCTGGCCTTAAACTTACAGAGATCTGCCTGCCTTTGTTTCAGAGTGCTGTGATTAAAGGTGTGCGTCACCACACTCAACATGATATTTGTTAATTGTTATCTTAAATTTGTGCTCCATTGCTCACATGTTCTAAGTAGTGTGTGCAGTTAAAACTGTAACATAGTGATGAAATTGAGGGGTTAGCGAGATGGCTCAGTTGATAAAGAGCCTTGAGTTCAATCCGTGAGACCAGTATGGTTGAAGGAAGGAAGAAAAGCCTATGTATTTGTCCTCTGACCTCCACACATATGGTGTGGCAGGTGTGCACTCTCACATATAGACAAATAAATTAATTTTTTAAAAAGGAGATTGAAGAATTAAAGACCTCATGTGTTCCTATATTAACACAATTAGTATACTCACAATATCTTTAAATATCTTATTATTATTCTTGTGTGGATGGGCATGGTGTATATGACTGGGGCATTTGTGTTATAGCCTGTTTGTGGAGGTCAAAGGACAACTGTGTGGAGCTCTTTCCTTCCTCTCTTCTGTAGGTTCTAAGGATTAAACTCACATTGCCAGGCTTGAACAACAACCATCTTTTCCAACTGAGCTATCTAGCCAGCTGCTAAAACATCCTTTTCGTGAAAGCTATCTACACATTCATTGCCCTCCCAGGAAATGACATCACATCCTTTAGAAAACGGGAGAATATAAACATGTGATTTTCTTACAGAAGAAATAATCCCAGCCAGCATTGGAATTCTGTAGAAAAGGTGTGATGCTGGACGTATCACTGTAATTGCTCTCAAATAATACTGTAGGGCTGTATTAGCAAAAGGAGCAAGCTGTTGGCAGAAACCATTGGCACAGACTGTGTATTGAACTTATACAGTGGTCCAAAAGTGTAATCACACAACCAAAAGTGTAATCACACAACAGTAGCCACCATTTTCTCAAACTACCAAGAATCTGTGTTTCAACAAAAGGACTTTAAAAGATAGTTCTCTAAAAAGTAGATCCCCACACATAAAAGACTGAACCTACACAGCTATTTCTTCTCTTATACCTATAGAACAGAGACCTTAACAGGCGGCCTTTAATCTTGACAGAGCTGGAGAAATTCATGTGAACACAATTTAATAAAATATGTATAGAATAGAATATAAACAGCCGTAGAATATGAATTTAGCAGGGCATGGGGATTCTTGCCTAAAAACCCCAAAGTGAGAGGCGTTCAAGGTTATCATCCACATAGGAAGTTCTAGGAGAACATGGTAGATGAGCCCAGAGCTCAAACAAAAACAGCTATAATAACAGAAAAAAAAATGAATGCTATCTTTCTAAATGTAAAATTTCTACCCAGCAGTCACCAGAATGGAGAAGTATCCTATAGGGGGAAAAATACCTTTTCCAGGTACTCATTCAATATTAATATTGAGAATATATAAACCCATGCACACAGGTGGTGATAATATAGAATTATCCAGCCACTATGAAATCTTTTTAGGTATGAAAAATAATACTGCTGTATGATGTAGGAACCTTATCTCTGGCTATATGTGTGATGGGACTAAGGATACAGTGGCTGCCCCTCAAGTCCCACACTCACAGTAACTAAGATATGGTATCAGCCATTATGCTCATCATTAGATTCATCATAAAGATGAGGCACATTTCAGATGTATTTATTAGTCAACTGTGAAAAGAATCATGTTGGCCTGGGCAAGGTGGCATACACCTTTAATCCCATGGGATAGTCCATGTTATTTGCAAGGTGAGGTAAATAATTTTTTTATTCTTCATGAAGAACAAAAATGTGTACCATTATCAAAAGTCAATATTATTTAATATTTTCTTTGAGGATAAGAAGTCACATGAAGAAGATTTGAGTTATTCATGGATGGGGTTATTTTTAATGTCATCTTAGGTGTTCATAAAGTGGCTGCTCCAATTGGGAACCTCCAGGACTATCACACGGAACTTTTGTGGCAAGTTGAGATCACCAACAGCCAGACATCGAACGAAGAAATTGTTGAAGTAAGTAAAATATTTAATATGAGCTTGTGTCATATTTCAAATGTAAAGATAAAGATTGGAAATTAGGAATGTTTCTTCAAGAACTTAACCCAGGTCAACAAGATGGCTCACTTTGTAAAGGGTCTTGTCATCAAGCCTAAACATCTGAGTTTGATCCCCACACCCCTTGTGGTGGGTGGTGAAGAAAAACCCCAGAACTTGTTCTCTGACTTCCATATGTGTGCCGTGGCGTGCATACACACACACACACACACACACACACACACACACATACACACACACACACACACACACACGTATAATTTGAAAAATGAAGAAAATTAACTCTGGCCTGGGGGGATTGTTTAGTTAGTAAAATGCTTGATGCAGAAAGCATGAGAACCTGAGTTTGGATCCTCAGCACCCACAGATAGAGACCGCTGAGGTGATATGTATCTCTACCCAGTGCATGAAGATGGAGAGATTGGGGTCACTGGGGTTTGCTGGCCTATGATTCCATCCAAACTAGGAAGCTTCAGGTCCAGTGAGGGATCTCAGAGATCTACAGAGCTCACAGCTGAGTGTCTTTCTCTTTTATGTGATTGTTACCGGCTGGAGAAGAACATGATAATTTTAATGATAATGGAAAAATTATTCTGACATCCTGATCAGCTTAAGTTGCCATAATCTCAGTCAAAATTGACAGTGGTGTTGTCAATATATTTAGCCGGTGGTATTGTTAAAGATAATATTATTTACACATGAATTTTCGTATTAAAGGGATCCCTGGTAAACTCAGTCAATATTAGAAATCATTCTACATGACATTTATTTGTGTAGCACAAGAGATTCTAAACAAAAATTAGCACATCCTAGGAAAAAGCCCTGTGGATGTATGAAGTACAGCTAATTCCTCTGTCTCTAGGCAGAACTGAACGTGACAGAGAAAATCCACCCAGGGACCACATCTTACGAAGGCAAAGGCTGTGTGAAGGCATTCTGCCAGCAGTCACAGCACACGAGGGATCAGAGGACACACGCGTGTAAAAGAAGCTTCATGTATAAGCCCCTGCTCAGTGACTGTCAGAGACTTAAAGAGGAGACACCCTGTGCACACAGACCGTGCAGGAATGCATTCTCTTGGAAGTCACACCTCACTGAACATCAGAGAAGACCTCTCGGTGAGAAGCCACACGAGAGTTCAGGATGTGGGAAAGCTTCCCACACCAAGTCTCAGCGTCAGATCAGTCATACAGACGAGAAGCCCTACAAATGTCTGGAATGTGGGAAGTATTTCTACTACAAGTCTCAAATCACTGAGCACCGGAGAAGTCATACCGGCGAGAAGCCTTATGAGTGCACAGAATGCGGAAAATCGTTCAGCTATAAGTCACATCTCACCGTGCATCAGAGAAGTCATACAGGGGAGAAGCCACATCAATGTACAGAGTGTAGGAAAGTTTTTTACTATAAGTCACAACTCACTCGACACCAGAGGAGCCATACGGGGGAGAAGCCGTATGAATGTTTGAAATGTGGAAAATCTTTCTACTGTAACACACACCTTTCTCTGCATCAGAGAATTCACGTAAGTGAGAAACCTTATGAGTGTGCGGAATGTGGCAAAGCTTTCTCTTTCAGTGCGTGCCTCACTCGACATCAGAAGACTCACACAGATGAGAAGCCATTTGAGTGTCCACAGTGCCCCAAAGCTTTCTACTTTAAGAAACAGCTTACTCATCAACTGAAGACGCATACTGCTGAGAGGCGCTTTGAATGTAAACAGTGTGGAAAAGCGTTCTACTGGAGGTCTAACCTTACTTTGCATCAGAAAACTCATACTGGGGAGAAGCCTTATGAATGTAAACAATGTGGAAAAGCATTTTACTGCAAGTCCCACCTCACTGTACATCAGAGAACTCACATAAGTGACAAGCTCTTCCAATGCACAGACTGTAGGAAAGCATTTTATTCTCAGGCACAGCTTACTGTTCATCAGAAGACTCACACTGATGAGAAGCCCTTTGAATGTAAGCAATGTGGGAAAGCCTTCTACAGCAAGTCTGGCCTTACAGCACATCAGAAAACTCATACAGGAGAGAAGCCCTATGAATGTAAACAGTGCGGAAAAGCCTTCTATAACAAGTATTTGCTCATTGAGCATCACCGAGTTCATACAGGTGAGAAGCCCTATCAATGCACAGAATGCAAGAAAGCATTCTACTGCAAGAAATACCTTTCTCTACATCAGAAAACTCATGCAAGTGAGAAGTCATTTCATTGTGCAGAATGTGGGAAAGCTTTTTCCTGGATGTCACACCTCACTCAGCACCAGAGAATCCATACAGGTGAAAAGCCGTACACGTGTGAACAATGTAGGAAAGCTTACTACTTCAAGAAACAACTCACTCGGCATCAGAGAACTCATGCGCGTGAGAAGTCGTTAGATGCAAATAATGCAGGACATGTCACAGCAAATCCTCCTCTGTGTGTGAAAGAACTTGTACAGAGGAGAAACCCTGTAAGTGTATCAAATGCAGACGTTCTCCCTCATGTCATGCCTAGGAGTGTAACGAATCTGAAAGCTCACCCAAGTGTATAATCAGAACGCTTGCAGGTGAGAATCTGATTGGTGTGAAAACTCTGGGAAGTTCCTAGTGTAAGTCAGCTGTAACTCTACCAGTGAACACATACCACAGTGAGACATATGACTGTGAAGATTGGTGGAAGGATTGGTACCACAGTGCTCTCTGTCAAAGAAGCCATATATGGGAATGTCTCCTGTTGATATAAAACATGTAGAAAGCCTGTGTCGTTCTTCAGCTGAATTGAGTATATTGTACGTGAATAACATTGGATGGAAAGAACAGAGGAAAACTTTCTAACGTTAAGTTCCATGAATTCACACCTGGAAACTTATGCAGGTGTGGGGCCCAATGAAACTGATAAAAATAGACATGTTTTGAAATAGAAGTCAGGCCTCTACATTAGAAACTTCATATGTGATATGCCAGGTAGAGCAAAAATTGTAGTGAGGTATATACTGTATGCTTTCAAGTCTAGATCATCATCCTGCAGGTTTATTCACACACAGTAATTGAAGACTAGCCTTAGCAACATACAATATCATTCCATATGCTTAAAAGCAGTAAAGCCTTTTTGAAGAGCCCCATGTCAGATAATGAATTTAATTGCAGCCTTTGTGTTTAAAGCCCCAAAAATATGAAGAGTACCAAAACTTTGGAATTGAACTTAAAATTCATCTGGCTTCAGAAGCCCAGTAGAGATGATTAAGCAGAGGAACCAATTTGAAAACACTTTGGTAGTCCAGCTGAGTTTGTTACAAAGATTCACCAACAAAGCATAGATGTAAGGAGTCTAGAATAGGCATTCGGCCATGTTACCACAGCACCAGCCATCAGTTAACCCGTGAAAGTGAGAGCACATTTGAAGTTTAAACGTTAACTTGTTTAAATGTGGCTCAGTGGCAGTGTGCATATGAGTCTTGCACTGTACGTCTTCACATAGTCGTTTTCACGTGTTATCTTGATTTAGAATATTTACATTCACGGGGCATTTGGAAATCAGTTAAAATTGTCTACAAGTTTTAATGTCTCATCAGACATGAACATTTTGATGCTTTTTTGATGTCACAATTTTATAGTTGTTTTGATTTGTAGCATGAGTGTCCTCTGGCTTCTGAATGTGCATAGTTACGTACCCATACACATGCATACAGGACATGAGCACACAGTAGAAAAATACCAATTTTGTTATACATTAGGAAATTGTATAGCAAAACATCAGTATATGTAATTTTCATGTTAATTTTCAAATGAAGTAACATAATATTCCTTGCCAATAACAATCAATCAACTTTTTTTTAAATTTTATTTATTTATTTATTTTTTTGGTTTTTCGAGACAGGGTTTTCCTGTAGATTTGGAGCCTGTCCTGGAACTAGCTTTTGTAGACCAGGTTGGTCTTGAACTCACAGAGATCTGCCTGCCTCTGCCTCCCTGGTGCTGGGATTAAAGGCATGTGCCACCACTGCCCAACCTGCAATTTTTATTTTATTTTTTAGGTTTTGTTCTCTATTGTAATGCATTGGATCAAAATCATAGTCAGGAATTCTAGGCAAGTGCTGTATCCCCTAGGCAATGTTTTGATGAATTTGTTGTTATCACTGCAACTTTGTAGTTGAAACTAATCTATTAAAGGCCATACATACATACATAAATATCTGTACTTTCTGGATAGTAGGCTTTATCTCCTTGAGTTGCTTTAGCATAACCACATAGAATATGTGAAGTTTTGTCTATAAACATAGCAGCTGAAGGTATATTTACCTTAGTAATAAGGCATATGTCTCTGCAAGTCCACTGTGTAACTAATCCCCAGCACAAAGAACATAGACAGATTTAAAGACAGGAAACATAATACAAAGAGAAGGTACCAGATTTATTATTCAGAGCCCTGTCTTTGTGACCTCGTCCAACTGTGTTACACATTCTAAAGTTTAAAATACTTCCCCAAATAGTGTCACAATTTGAAGATCAAACACTCGGAACATAAACATTAGGCAGACATTCCATGTAGCTGCACAGCAGTGTCCTCAAATTGTTAAGTTACCTAATATTTTAAAGAAGCCTAGGAGACTTATATTAAAGCAAATACAATTAAAACCAAAAAACCCAAAGATAAAATATATAAAGCATTTAGAAATAAATAACACATTTTAATTAGAAAAATATGCACAGTAGATAACATCATAAAAATTAGAGGCACAATATCAATGAAGTAGCTTTTAAGTAAAGAAGGAAAATTAAAAATCAGGTACTGAGTTTTGTGTTTAGCAGAGTATCCTTTAAAGAGCTGAGTAGAGGACGTAATGTAATTCAAGTTATATATGAGTTTCACAAAAAATAAAATTGGAAATATGAAGTGCTGATGAGAATCTTTTATTACATATATTTATTGTGTATGAGTCCATACTCCACTGAGTGTGTGTTTGTGTGTGTAGGTTTGAGGGCAACTCTATGAACCTCTAAATGTAACCTATTAGGAATAAGTGTTGTTGCATTTGTAGTTAAGCTAAAGTCCAGGATATGAATGATGTCATCCTGGGTTTCCAAGATGAACCCTAAATCAAATCACACTGTCCTCATTAGGAGACACAGGAGAAGTGGGGTGAAGAATGCCTGTCTTCTTAGTGACTCTGTTGGCCAAGGCAGTAGGTTCCCAAGTTGAAAGTCAGTCTGGGCTCCATGGTAAGTACAGGCCAACATGAATGATTGAAATGCTGTCTCATAAGAAAAAGTACAAAAACCGTACTAAGAAAAGTAGAACACGGTAATCTAAACAGTTAGGAGGTGGAAACAATAACATCAAAGTTTAAGATTTTCCTCCAGCTGTATAGTGAGGTCCATGCCAGGATGATATAGACTAGCATTTGCACAGCCTAATACTTAGTGAACAGATGAAGAAATAGCCCACAGAAAAGAAGCGTCCTCAAGGAATTTGCATTTCTGTCCAAAACTTATTAATGATCAGCACGCACCATAGGACAGTAGAAGAAACTACCAGAAGTTTAAGACATGGGGCTAGACCACCCCTGAGATCTCAGTACTGCAGAAGCAAGTAGTCCATGAGTTTAGCATTAGCCTAAGAAACAAAAGACCCGATTTTAAGAAGCAAACTGGGGAAAGGCAATCTACTTGAAAAACTGCATTGTGAGCAGCACTTGGGAGGCAGAGGCAGGCAGATCTCTGTGAGTTCGAGACCAGCCTGGTCTACAAGAGCTAGTTCCAGGAAAGGCTCCAAAACCACAGAGAAACCCTGTCTCGAAAAAAACCAAAAAGAAAAAAAAAAAGAAAAACTGCATTGTGTTTTGAATTTTCCAGGGTCTGCATACTATTCAAGATTTTGCAGATTTAAATGTTAAAAAGTAAAAGACTTCTGGAATCTATAGGTAGATGATTTAAGGAAATACTAGGCAATTTTTTTTAAGTTTTGAAAATTATTTTATGTATATAGCTGTTTTGGCCAACTGTGGACCTGGTCCCCAGGGAGGCCATGAGAAGGTTTGGAGCTGGACTTACAGGGCTGTGAGGTAGCACGTGGATGCCGGGAATTGCCCCTGTACCCTTTGGAAGAGCAGCTAGTGCTCTTAACCTCTGAGCCATCTCCCCAGTTCAGGTCTTACTGTGTAGATCGGGCTGACCTCAAACTTACCAAATATTGAGTGCTGGGGTTCGAGGAGTGTACCAAAATACTTAGCAGAGGTTTGTCTTCACAGTAGAAAAATTAAGCAGTAAGGCAGTTAGCAACTTCAAATATTAAAATTAAAGGAATTAACACCCTTTCCAAAAACACTACCCAGAAGGTAAGACAGATTTGGAATATATGCCATATGAAAAGAGTTGGGTGCAGAGTAAAACTGAACCACACTTATGCATTATAATGAGAAAACTAATGTAGGTGCAATACATATGTGCGCACACACAGATTTAAAAGATGAAAGCCTACATAACATTGATCCCTTCTCTGTGACAACTAGGAGCTAGTGAGTCAAAACAGCAAGTAAATGGGTTCTCAAATTGACTACATGGTCAAAAATTAGTTTTCTGGAGAGAGCTGCTTCAATTTTCATGCATTTGAAATTCCCCTTTGGGAAACCTTTACCCAACATTCCCAACTTTACTGATAGAAAAAAAATAACTTAAAAATTTGGGAAGGAAATAGGAGAGATAGCTTGGCAGTTAAGAGCACTTGCAGTTCTTCTGGAGGACCTGAGTTTGCTACTGCAAACTACTTCAGGGGTCAAACCGTCAGGGATGCTTATCTCATATGGACCTCTCATTTAGCAAGATGAGGAGTATTGTCACCAGAGATGTGCATCTCATTAGCCTTATCTGCAAGGCGATAAGCAATACTGCCTTCTGGATGTGTTAAGCTGTCTCTGTTGCAGACTTCTTGTGTGAAGAGCTCTTTCCCTCACATTACAGCTTGGAAAATCTTCCCACAGTACTGCAGTACGTTAATAGTTTACTGAGCATAATTCCTTATGCATTGCTGTATTGGATGACTCCCCCACAGTGTGTGATTCTGACAAGAAAGTAAACACAGTCAATGTCCTTGTTCTCTCAACCAAGTCTTTGTATAAACTTTGAAGTCTGCCTTCCTGCAGTTATCTTCATTGGCAGACAGTTGGTCAGTGTTAGAGTACAGGCAAAGAGACCTCCATTGACACAGCCACAGATGGCCAAGGAAAAGAGTTATAACATGTCTGAACTTGTTGAGCCGTCTTCTCAAGAGAGATAGGGAACAAGAGTCCTGGATTCGCTCTGCCAGCAGATTGAAAAGTACTGCCCTAAGACTGATTTACATGCTTCTCTTTTTAAACAGAAAAGGGTAAGATGTCAGGAACATTTATCATGGGCTATTATTGCAGGCCATGACACAATTACAACTTACTCCGAAAACTGTTGCTTTCATCTGTAATTTCATTTGTGTAATAACAGCTATGAATCTCCCTATTATCATACATTTTCATACAATGTGTACATGTAATCTTATGATTGCATCTCAATCTTATGGGCACACATATCCGTGGATGGTTAAATAGATGACTTTTTATTTAGATGTATAGTTTTGATATATAGAATATATACTGGGACAAGTTTTATAATTAAATCTGTTGTCCCATGAGGGCTACAGACACCTAAAATCCTACCTGGCAGAAGATGTGGCAAAGGTAGACATTGGACTAATTAATGTAGATCAACAAGGGACAGTCAAGGTAATCCTTTGCTGTTAGGAAACAACTTGAGGGACTTCTTGTAAGCTCCCATGTCAAATTCAGTCATCATGGAAGAAACTCTGTCCCGGAGCAATTAAAGAACCTAATGCTTATTGTAAGAAACCATAGTACTATGGATGATAGAAGAGAGAACAAAAAAATATTCGGGAGAAACCATAGAGCAGATATTTTGGCAGACTTCTATAAATGAACAAAGATCAAAATAAAAAATACAAATGTTTGATGGCATCATTGAATTTCTTGTCAACACAGATGCATTTATAAGGATAATTCATCAGAATCTTGGCATCCAAATTGGCCTCTTCAGGAGGTAAATACTTAGCTTTTAGGTATTGGAACTTTATCTCTAATAAAACAGAGTGGGAAGTGTGTCAAATGTGTAGGACCAGAGGAAAGTAAAAGCCATATGTGGCTAACATGGCAGTGACATTATGGGAACATGATTTGTTACAGCAATGGGATTCTCAGATTAATATTCCTTCAATCTTAGAAACAAACCATACATTAATATGTGTTTCTGAGAAAATTATGGGAGATATTTATTTTAAAAAAGTTGACACCTGCCTGTTGGCCTGCGAGCTCAGTGGAACCCTGGAACACAGCTTGCTCTAATACTGTGGGGAACTAAGAGGTGAGTCAGTGGCCACAGGGCTGCACAGCCAGATGCCCCACTCTCTGGGAACTTTCTAGCCAGTCAGCAGGGATTATTCCTGCAGCTGGGCTATCCCTCAACATACTGCACCCCCACACCTGCCTATTCACCTGTGAGCTCAGTGGAACCCTGGAACACAGATTGCTCTCTGGGACCTCCCCAGTGGGACAAAACTCAGGGGCCCTTCCCCAGCTCACTTGGTTTTTTAGCCAGCCAGCAGGGTGTTTTCCTGTAGCTAGGCTATTCCCCATCCCACCCCACCTCCAAATCTGCCTGCTCACCTGCGAGCTCTGTGGAACCCTGAAACACACCTTGATCCAATACTGAGGAGACCTAAGAGACAGCCACAGCAAGGATTGGACCAAAATTTCAAGACACAGCTGACCTCATTTGAAGGAAAAGATGGATAGGCACCAATAAAAGAATTTCTACAACATCCTCAAAAGCAACAGGGTAACACCAGAACCCAGCACACAGCCAAAAGGAAGACTTGATCATCCTAAACCAGAAGAAGTACAAGAAAATGACTTTAAACATAACTTTATGAAAATGGTGGAGACCTTTAAAAAGGAAGTGAAAAACTCCCTTACAGTAATGGAAGAAAAGACAAACAAAAAGTTGGAAGAAATTAATAAATCCCTCAAAGAAACTCCCGAGAGAATTCTGGAAATGGAAAATCTGGGTAAATGAACAGGAACTACAGAAACAAGTATAACCAACAGAATACAAGAAATAGAAGAAAGAATCTCAGGCACTGAAGATACTATAGAGGAAATAGACTCATTAATCAACAAAAACATTAAATCCAACAAATTCTTAACACAAAACATTCAGGAAATCTGGGATACCATGAAAAGACCAAGGGGTAGAAAAAAGAGAAGAACTCCAGCTCGAAGGCACAGAAAATATATTCAACAAAATTGTAGAAGAAAACTTTTGCAACCTAAAGAAGGATATCCCTATGAAGGTACAAGAAGCTTACAGAACACCAAATAGACTGGATCAAAAAAAATAAATAAATAAAATCCCCACACCATATAATAATCAAAACACAAAAGATACAGAATAAAGAAAGAATACTAAGATCTGCAAAGCAAAAAGGTCAAGTCACATATAAAGGTAAAATTATCAGAATTACACCTGACTTCTCAATGGAAACCATGAGAGCCAGAAGGTCCTGGATAGATGTGCTGCAGACACTAAGAGACCATGGATGTAAGCCCGGGCTAATATACCCAGCAAAGTTTTTATTCACCATCAATGGAGAAAACAAGATATTCCATGACAAAAACATTTAAACAATACATATCCATAAACCCAGCCTTACAAAAAGTACTAGAAGGAAAATCTCAACCCAAGGAAGCTAACTAGACCCACAATAACACAGACATATGATAACTCCCCCACCAGCATAACCCAAAGAAGGGAAACACAAATACTACTACCTAAAAATAACCAGAGTTAA